TTTTTTTCTACTTTTTTTTTAAGCACATTGTGTAAAGTAGATGGTCTTGTTATTCTCGCTGCTGCATCTGATGTTACAAACTCAATGCTTACATTGTCAGGCTGTTAGTCCGTTTGATACCTTTTAATAAGCATCATTTCACATAAGGTCTCCTTCCTTTAGTTTTGTTCCTTCTAAACAGGAGATACGGTTCTATGATAACAGCAGGCCCAATAAGATCCTCAGTTAATGGTATAAAATGGATATAAAATTAAAAAACTGACTCTTAATCACTTGGTATTTTATTGTAACTTCAGAATAGTCTAAAACTTTAAATGGAAACTTCCATTCACAATTATTTATAATTCATAATCCAAATAAAAATTGTTTTGAACTGTGTTTGGTCTCATTAACCAAGCACTGAGGGCAAGGGAGACAACATGTACAGTGTTTTAATTTGGAATTAAAAATTCCATTTTTATAATGTATAATAAATATTTTAAAACTTTGATGAGAGGTCTTCTGCTAATTTGCATAGGCTGATCTGTGTATTTCTTATTATATGTTGCTATTATAACTGAACTGAGAACAGCTGAAGTTTGAGTAACCTTTGAATTTCATAAATTAATTAAAAAAAAGTTTCTTTTCTTTTTGTGTTTCATATTCCTTAAAGATTGTTGTGTAATTTGTCAGTATTAAAGTACTCCTGAAGATTGTAGTCTTCCAGTCTTGTAAATTTATAGCCAGTAATACACGCAAAAGCTGTTTTAAAGCATCTATAGCACTGTGCACCTTAAAATTACTTGTTCTGAAAATGGTGTATGGATCAAGGAAATGATTGGTTATTCAAAAGTATACAGAGGGAATATTAGAAAAAATTGTTTTTACATGTCCTCTGGAGGACTGTCTCTAATGTTAAGTGTTGTCAGTCCTTTTAAAGATTAATCTGGAGAAAGAAAGCACAGCTTAAATTTTGCCATTTTGCTCTGCAGTTCACTGGTTTGTAGTTCATAAACAGCATCAAATTATTTTTTTTTCATTTTTACTCTCAACTCACGTTTCTCAGCTTCACCAATGTGTAGCTTAAGCCAGAATTTTTTATGCGTACCCTCGTATTACAGATAAGACATCTCTGAACAGGTCATAAGAACCTTCTTCCTTATGGCTGCTTTGAAATAAATCTTACCTGTTAACGTCACTTAAAACAAAGCATGTTTAATTTTTGTTAAATTTTATAATTGTTCTCTTTTATCTTTTTATGTGCTTATCTATGTATACGTAGGGTATTGGAACATTGATAGATGACTATGCACTTACATGGTTTTGCAGTGCTCTTGTCTTCTGGCCTTGTTTTTACAAGCTGGGGAGGCAGGCAAAATGGCCAGGTGTACAATGCTCAGAATCATCAGGTTCCCATTTTCTAAATAAATAAGGATCTCAAATTTAAAATACTTTGTTCCTTTATCATATGAATAGCACTTACCTGAATTTTTCAAAATTTTCTGATTTGCTTTGAATTCAAAGATAGTTAAAGTGCTCATAGCAATTTTCTAGATGGGGATACTGCTGTAAATGTGTAAGTAGACATAAAAAAAGTTCCTCAGAAGTACTTAGGCTTAAAGTAACTTGTCCATTGAAAGTTACATTTGAAAATGGGACTTGGACACTCCTGCAAATTTTGTGCCTAGTCCAGCACCTTCAGCATAAAAACATCCTTTCTCCATGCCAAGCTTATGAACATATTTCTATCCTGTGGGTTGTAGCCAATTGTCCGGGAAAGTCATGCCTCTGTTTTCATGAAGCTGCCTGTGTCTTGACTTAGTGTTGGAGCATGGGCCTCCTCTCACATTGAAGATACTTTTGACATTGGAAACACTCCTACCATTATATTTGCTTCTGCTGTATCAGTAGCATATGATGTAGAACTTTAAATAATAGTGAAATCCTTTATAAAATAAGGCATTGTGGGAAGTAAAAGGCAAGGGAAGAGGTCACTGAAAAAAGCCATTCACTTGTCTGATTAATTCCATTTTTTCTTTGATTAATGTAATTCATTACAATTTCTGCTCTTAAAATTGACAGTCCTACGTAAATTTCAACCATTATTAACTTGCATCTTGTTCCATCCTTAAGAAAACTTTGTAATCAATGAATTACAGACTGGTTGAGGTTCAAAGGAACCACTGGAGGTCATCTGGTCCAAGCCCCCTGCTCAAGCAGGGACACCTAGAGCCAGCAACATTTAAAACTAGTATTCTTCAGCCCCACTATTGCTGTGGCCTCCTTAGTTAAGCCTTCTTCCCACTAACTTTCCTATAATACTCATCTGTCTGAAAAGTTTTTCAATTTTAAAGTGGTCTGAGTTACAGTAATATTGGTTCCTATAATGTTCAGGGATTACTACAGCTGGCCTTTCTGAACAGAAGTAATTTTCTGGTGTGTATTTTTAAAATATTTTTATTTCTAACAGAAGACAAATTTTTATTGTTTCATGTTCTGTTCCCAGTTTGCATGTCATACTGTTACCAACACATTCAAGACTAGAAGTGCTGGCTTAAATGCACATCCTACAGATGTATATGAATGCCAAATTTTATGCTATAAAAGTTAATCAGGAGGGTTGCTGAAGTATCTTATTGCTATGTATACTTAAAAACTATGTATACATCTTATTGCTATGTGTACTTAAAAACAAAAGAAAACACTCCTTCTTAGCAGGAGAGGAAAAAAATTCTGCAGAACTAGATGTGCCTTCTCTGAAATTCTGTCAACAGACTTTGTTGATCATGGAACAGTTTCCAGAGCTGCAGATATATTTGTATGTGTAACGTGCAAATAAGGATCTAAATTAGAGTGCTGAACTCCTTTAGAGATGTGTTCAATCATTATATGAAAGATCTTATAACATGCAATGACCAGGTTCTATGCCCATTCCCTGTGTATCAAGCTTTCTAATAAGTGGAACTTTTGTATTGTGGAAAACAGATCCGTGACTCAATCTGTGACTGACATGAGTTATGTAAAATCATATGTAAATGAATGCCTTCCAATGGCATGTCTAAAAACCCAAAGTATTTGCCTTCTTCCAGATGGCATTTAGAATAAATGTGCTGCACACTCATTATCAAGGATTCCACGTCACCCACAGGAAGACCCAAAAATACTGTTTTCCCTAACGTGTTCCTGAGTGAGAGAAATCTAAACTGACCCTGACTCTTTGCTAGGGATTTGGGACACACTGGAAGGAGAGTGTACCTACGGGTGCATAAATGCTACCTTCCACATCAGTATTGAATTGTTAATAGCTGAGAAATTGCTTGTTTCTGGAGTAAAAACAAATCTAGACGTCTTAGAAAAAACATTTGCCATGACTGAAAATAAAACACCGTGTATTAATACATTTTTCCTAGATTGAAAATTTTTGGACTTATTAAATAAGGGAACAAATGAAATAGCTGAGTTGAGCAGCAAGGAATTGGTAACTACTGTTTCAAATAACTGCATGGACTTAGAGTGGCTCTGGCGATGTAGGATGAAGTAGGTTAGTGGCTTCACTAGCTTTGTGGTAGCAGCAGTAAAAGGAAGAAGGTAAGGAATCGTCTCTATGCATTCTAGTTCAGTGATACCTTTAAATATCATGTGGGAAGTAATCAGAGGAACACATAAGATTTTTTTCTGTGAGATTTGAGACACAGCTTGTTATGATGCATTGGTACAATCCTTGTTTATGAGTCACAGACCCAGTCCATAGATGTATTTCAACGTATGTCTAATTTTTAACAGGTGGGCAGTTGCCATATGAAGACTCTCAGGCAGTTTTATATGGGGTGTGAGATATATCCTCATTCTTGCTTGGTGTTGTTTGTGAAGAGCTGCAGCATTTTAGTAACACTGAATGTGGATGAAAAATTTCAAAAGCAGGATCAGAGCTGACAGCGGCAGACTTACAGAGCTATGTGAATACACTTTTAGGACTAGCATCATAGTATGTAAAACATTTTGGATATTCTTTCTGATGAGAAAAGATATGATGGTGTTAATTTGCCACTGCTGTTTTGTACACTTGACAAATAACTTGATTGATTTCAGCTATGTTAACTTCTCTTCTGAAAAGCAGTAGTGTGTTTGAGAACAAAGAAAGGAAAACAGTAAAAGTCTTTGTGAATGCCTGTTCGTGCTACTAAGTTTATTTTTGCCTATACCACAGACTTACATTCAAAAGGCCAACTTCATATTATCTCTAATATGTTCTTACAGTAGAAACTTGCTATAGGTGATTTCAGATGGGAAAACTATAACTTATAAAATGTGATTAACCAGTTGTAAAGAAGACCAATAATCTCAACAGTGTTACACTATTTAGGGTAGATATAAAGTTACCAGTACTGCCAAGTCATTTGTACTCTCTTGTGCTGCTAACTTTATTATCAGTCTGATCAATATTACATGGTTGGGACATTCTTCCACTATATACATGAAAACAATTATATTTTCCCAGTTATATTGTAATCAGATTATTTGCTTTCAGAGATCTGTAGGTTTAATGTGTTTCTTTTGTTTCTGCCAAATTAAATTTTTTTTAACGTGGAGTGGGAGGATTGGTAACTCGACTCATTTTGAAAGTATGAACATTTACCTGAAACTGTGTAGTGATTCTTTGTAAACAGAAATTGAACTTACACTGAGTCTGGTATTTAAATACAACAAAAAATGGTATCAGCTGCTCAGTGCAGTAACGTATGTTTGAAAACAGCTCATCAAAACACTTTCTAATTAGGGTGCACAGTGATTTGCTTTTCTTCGATGCTATTAATATTTAAGATTTTAGAAGGAATACAAAATCCCACGTTAGACCGAAATCCCATGTTAAGTCCTGAGATTGAAATTTTGCCTGTCTTCCAACCTTTGTTTGATTTCTCTGATTAGTGAAAGTTAGGTCTTCTGTAATGAATCCGGATGTATGCTATTTGGCCTTTAAGTATAGCCTGCCTGGCACTGATGATTTATTTTACTTTTTAAAGGCCATGATTAAAAGTTTTATGGATGTCTACCAACTTGCAAGTTCCAGAATTGACATGTTAGTGAGAGAAACAGCATCTCATCAGCTTCACACTGCAGACTTAAAGTCCAATCTCCAAACAGCTTGTCTTCGTGAAAGTGAGAGCTTGCAGTTGGTAAGTCTGCTTTTCACGTAATTTTTGTCATTTGCATGTGGTTTTCTAACCATCATCTCCCTTCATGCTGCATAGTTTCTGT